TGGCTCTAGCATCACCTTCTCCAGGTAGGTGTTCTGGGGCTCCCATTCCCCATCTCCTCTGAACCTGTTTATTTTGACTTGTCTGGTTGGAATCTACTACCATGAGTTGTCATTATCTGAGCTTGTGTAGGAAACTGGATGGGCTCAGGGCACAATTGGTTGTCTAGAACTGCTCCAGATCTCCTGTCCCCCACCCCCCAACCTGAATTGGTTCACATCACAGCACTTTGCTGGTACTGGTGGCACTTTAGAGCAAGGACAGGCATCCAGCCTTGTAGTAAAGGTGCCAATTTGATGCCTATATCCCATCCTGGGAGAAACTGGTTCCCAGACCTGGCTCCAGCTCCTGATTCTGGTTTCCTGATATGTGTTCTGGAAGTAGCCAGTGATGGTTCATGTAGTTGGGTCCCTACTCACCATGTGGGAGATTCTCTTGCATTTCTGACTGTTTGCTCCAACCTGGCCTCACTGCAGCCATGTGAGCAACTGGGGAGGGAGCCAGCAGATGGGAGCTGTGTCTGTCTCTTTGTGTCTCTATGAGTCTCAAATAAAAACAGAATCTTAACATTGATGATTTTTCCTTTAGAATGCCTGATTTTGAGTCCTCCCTCCTGCTCCTGCCTCATATCCTCTTGCCTTCCCTTCTGCCAGGCTCTGACCTCAGTCACCTGTATGCGGAGCTCAGCGCCTTTCACTTGAAGAAGTCTTTCCTGATGTCCCCTGAACCCTGCTCAGCCACTGTTCAGCTTAGACCACCCCACCCCATCCTTCCTGTCCATTGCCATTGGGAACTGCCCAGTTGGTTGTGTGGTGGCTGAAGTTTGGCATTCCCAGCAGCATGGAGAGTGGGCCCAGTCTGTGTTGGCCAAGGTTCTGTCTACAACATTTACTGCCTGGTTACCTAAAGCAGGTGCTCAAGAAGAATCATTTTGTGACCATATGGGAGGGGGGTACTGGGCAGTGTCATTCTGGGTTTATTTCAGTTAACTGGATGACCTCCATTCTATTCCCATTGTTACATATAACAAGATTTCCTTCTTTGATACCTTTGTAGTATCCCATCGTCTTTAGCTGTTCACCGGTGGGTGGAGCCCGGCTTGTTTCTGTTTGTTGGTTGTCATGAACAGTGCTGTGATGAACACGGGGATGCCGAGATCTCTTGGACAGATGGGTTTTATTTGCCTTGGATGTGTACCCAGGAGTAGGACTGCTGGATCCAACTGTCAGTCTGTTTGCAGTGTTTTGAGGACTCTGTATGCTGATTTCCACCTTTTCACCAACAGTCAGCATGCATTGTCTCTCATTCACATCCTCTCCAACACGTGTGATCTTTTGTTTTGATTTGCAATTCCCTGATAATTTGCGGAGTGAGGCATCTTTTTATGTACCTGTGGATCCTTTGTAGTTCTTCCTTTGAGAAATGTCTGTTTAGAGCTACTGCTTGTTTTTTAACTGGATTGTTACTCTCTGTTTTGCTGTTAAGTTTCATATTTATTCTGGAGTAACATTCTGAGGACTCTATACTCACTCTACTGATGGAGTCCTTTGTTCTTTGGTTTGGTGAAATCCCGTTGTCACTGATTGCTTTTGTTTGGTATGACTTTGGAGCCTGATAAAAGAAAAAAAAAATCCTTGCTTGTTCCAATCCATTCCAATGTGAGTGTCTTTGTATTTTCTTCTATTGGTTTCAAAGTTTCAGGTCTTACATTTATGGCTTTTTTTAGAGAATCATTTTTTTTTTAGTTGAAATAGAAGAAGAAGAAGAAGAAGAAGAAGAAGAGAGAGAGAACAAACTTTCTTTCATTGGTTACTCCCCAGACGGTCATAACAGCTGGAGCTGGGCCAGGCTGAAGCCAAGAACCCTGAACTCCAGCTGAGTGTCTCATGTGAGTGTCAGGAACCCAGGTATATTCTCCAGTGCCTTAACAGGGAGCTGGCAGCAGAGCAATAGGAACTTCATCCTGAGTTTTGATATGGGATGCAGGTGGCAGCTTAACAGGCTGTGCCACAATTCTGGTCCCCTTTGTTCAATTAGTTTTTTGTGTGGTGAGAAACAGGGGAATGGAAATCTAATCCTGTCTACATTTGGATGCCCAAATATCCTGGCCCCGTGTATTGAAAAGACTCTTCTTTTTCCAGTGCAGTTTCTAACCTTTGACAGTTGTCAATAGATGCGTTGGTTTTCTTCTGAGATCTCTCTTCTGTTGCACATGATGTATGACTGTTTAGGACAGTACCATGCTCTTTTCATTGCTGTAGTTTTGAAATCAGATAACACATTGTGTCTGGCTTTGTTCTTTTTGCTCTTTTTTGGCTGTCTGGAGTCTTCTGTGGTTCCATTATGAATTTTAGTAGTTTTTTTTTTTTTAGATCTGTTGTGAAAACTGTCATTGATATCTTGATGGGAATTGCACTGATTCTAAATCACTTCGTGTAGTAAGGGCATTTTGATGATAAGGGTTGTCCAGTTTGTGAAGATGGGCTGTCTTTCCCTGTCTTTGTGGTCTCTAGGTTGTGTGTGTGTGTGTGTGTGTATGATCATTGTTCTATAGTTTTATTATAGAAATCTTTCACTTTATTGACTGTATTTATTCCTGGACATCTGATGTTTTCATAGCTATTGCAAATAGAATTGCTTTCATGATTTCGTTTCCAGATAATTTTTTGTAGGTATGTAATGATGCTACTGAATGTTGGCCAGTGGTTTTTATTTATATTGTTGAATTAGTTTATTCATTCTAATAGCGTGTCTGTGTGTAAGATCATGTCAACTGCAGTCACAATTTGCCTTCCCCCTTTTCAGTTTGGATGCCATTTGTTTCTTTTTCTTGCTTTATTGCCCTGAGTAGATAAGCTCGTCTTCATTTTACAGAGGAAGGGAGCTACATCAGAGAGGGTCAACAGTTTGCCTGATGCTGAACAGCTGGCCTGTGGATGCCCTACTCTTCCCAGGGCTCTTTCCTTCCCATCACCATTCGCCAAGGTGTGCAATACCAATGGCAAGTGGGTGATCAAGCAGAGACCTGCTGCAATGACCATATTGTCAACTCCCCAGAGGTTCACTCAGACCCACAGTGCCAGTGTATGTACCTGACAGAAAAGGTTTTCCCAAGTTCATGGGAAAAAAAACTGTGCTACAAAGAAGTTATTCATGGATTTTGAATTTTTTGGTGGGGAGAGTGAGACTCTGCAATTTTCTTTGAATTCTATTTTTGCAGTGAAGCTTTGGAAGCATCTTTGTCTGCAGAAGCACATGCATCCCTTAGAAGCAATTGCAGTTTCCTACTTAAAAACGTACAGTGTGTTTCAGGTGTGAATTACACACCTGAGCTAGGGAAGCCAGCAGGGAGGAGGTTCCTCATGCTGCATGGCCGAGCCACCTGCATCCAGGTGGTTCACCTGAACCAGTGCAGAAGGAATGAGAGCTTATGAACTAAGGGCCCTGGACCAGCTGCCAAGAGAGCTACAAGGGACTTTGGAATTGTTACAGATTGTCAAGCGAAGATGAGAGTTTGGGTTTTTTGGTTGTTTGGTTTTTTTAAGATCCCATGGTAGGACTAACAAGGCTCTTCTGCTTCGTAATTTTGTGTGTTGTGTTTCAAACACTTGAATGATCTTCTTAGAAGAAACTCCCAGTATCGAACAGGAGTGCAGCACCTTGGCCAGTCATTATTCTATGGGTCAGCCCCATGCAACACTCACTGTCCAGAAGTGCCATTGTTCTTGGCCTGTAGAATGTGGGAAGAGGGGGCCGAGCGTGGTAGCTTAGCAGCTAGAGTCCTTACCTTGCTGGGATCCCATATGGGCACCGGTTTTAATCCCAGTGGCCCTGCTTCTTATCCCGCTCCCTGCTTGTGGCCTGGGAAAGCAGTCAAGTACAGTCTAAAGCCTTGGGACCCTGCACCTGTATGGGAGATCTAAAGAGGCTCCTGGCTCCTGGCTTTGGATTGGCTCAACTCTGGCTGTTGCAGCCACTTGGGGCATGAATCAAGGGATGGAAGATCTTCCTCTCTGTCTCTATTCCTCTCTGTATATCTGACTTTCCAATAAAATTTTTTTTTAAAAAATTAAAAATAAAAAACAATGTGGGAAGAGAGTGGTGTTCTCTGTGGAGCAGTCACATGGCCAGGGACTAGGGAGAGGGAGTCATGGTTCAGGGGCCCTTGGGCGTCCAATGGATCCTGGGGCTTTCATATCCCTTCTTCGCTGCAAGCAGCCCAAGGCATCAGAATGTCACAGTCTAAGCAAGGGTGGCTCTGGGATGACCTCATCTAATCAAACTTCTTACTGTTTGCTCAATGGAGTCATCACAGAGATTTGAACTTCAAATTGTGAGATCTGTAAGAAGAATAAATGTTGTGACTATTTCGCCAGGGAGATTTCAGTGTCTGGACTCAATAGAGAGTGATGAGTTTCATCCATGAATGGATGTTGTGGAAGTTGAGGGAGTGGGTGGAATATGCGTGGACTGACACCAGAAAGGCAGCAGGCTGGAAACCCATAAGAAGGGAGGAGGTCATCCAACTGCAGTATCAGAAGATGCTACGATGTCATGTTTTCTAGGTGGTTTGCACCTCTTGAGTTTCCTCCCATCTAAAGTTGTCTTAGGGCTCTTTTGGTTTTAAATGACAGAAATCAGTGCAACATTATTAAGGTCAAGGGCAACATTTTGTAAGTGAAGCAGGTGTTTTTCTGCCGTTTTCAAAAGGCTAGCAGAAGGCTAGCTCCTGTATTTTGGGTGTGTGATGTATCCTTTGCTGCAGAAGAGAACAGAGAATTAGTTTTATTGAGATCGTTCACATGCAACCAAGTTTATCAAATTGTCAACTATAAATTAATGAGGTCATGTGACCACTACCACATACATTATGCAAAACGTTTCCATCATCATACACTCACCTTTAAGCTGTCAGTCCCTTCTCCTACTTGGTTTATGATGTCATGGGTCAGATTCCTGTCACCGTTTGGCTTTGATTTAAAAAAACACATGTTCTACAGTGTCTGTTGATGACTGACTTTTACCTAGCATGGTGCTTTTGAGATCCACACATGCTCTTGATGGTTAGTGTTTTTTTCCAGAGTGTACATTCTGGCCCAGTAGTTCAGATGTCAGTTAGAACATTCACATTTTTCATCAACACACCAAGATTTTTTTCCATCTTTTAAATTATATTTTTGAAAATCTTTACATAGTTAATTAGGGTAAAAAGGTTCAAGGGCTACAGGAAAATAGGTAAGACTATTAGTTCCATATTGTTTCCTTTATATATCTGAGGCAAATTTTAAGGATTTTAAGGGAGAAGCCCCACCCAGTCTTCCACCTACCCCAGATCCCCGATATGGGGTATGCTCAAGTGATTTTGATAGTTCAACAGTTATGAACCGCTGCCAGTCTTGCCAGTCCAAGCACGACGAGGTCTTTGAAGAATCCACTGATTGACATAGTCCATCATAGAGTCTCCATTTGCCCAGTTTTCGCTGCCAACATAGGGCTGAGATGGTTGATTGACTTGTTCTGTCCTCAGTCTCTTCATGGTTAGGGCTCTGAGTCCAGCAGTTCGACTGGGGGGATCCCCAAAGAAACTTTGTCTGAGGTGTTCCCAGACCAGATTCTTGTATGTACTAGCAAGTACAGGGTCCGGCACAGTCCATGGCCCTGATCCAGCTGGTGGTGGGTTGATTCTGTTTTCAGCCCTGTCTTCCACTGGAACCAATGGGTATTGCAGTCCAGCCTGGTTCTGCCCAGCACATTCTCAGCCCTCACATAAACCAGTGGGAGTTGCAGCCTAGTTGGAGTGACCCACAATAACCCCCACCAGGCCCGCCCCTACCCTGGTTTGCCAGTATGTGTAGCAGACTAGTCCAGTCTGCCCCATGTCCCATTTGGCTCTTGTACATGTCAATGGGTATTAAAGGCTAGTTTCATCTAACCAGCTCAACTATCCAGCCCTCATAGATGTTGTAGGGTGTCTCTCTGCCTAGCTTCCCCAGCCCCTGTCCTAGTTTTCATGGGAGTGGTAACCCAAGAGGAAGGAGCCCACTATTTCCCTCCCAGGCCTTTCCCACTCCAAATTATGCACTCTCCAGGTGGTTCTGTTGTTTAACTTGACAGAATTAGCCCCCAGTGTCAGCTTCTGCCAGCTAATGCTGAGGCTAAGCCCAACCAACCCTCACCCACTCTAATTGTAGTTTGCACCAGTACGGTCAATCAGCCCAGCCTGGCTTTTCCCTGATCTAGTCCACATGAAGCCCAAAGGAACACACCAAGATTTGATGTGGACTCTGGCTCCTGACTCCAGCTTCCTGCTGGTGTGGACACCAGGAGGTGATGTGGATTACCCAGGTCACTGGGGTCCTGCATCCTGTTGTGGGGACCTGTGTTTATTCCTGGCCCTAGCCCCCTCAACACTTGTGGGCCTTTGGAGAGTGAGGCAGCAGAAAGGACCTGGCTCCCTCTGTCTGTCTCTGTGTCTCACAGCCTCTTAAAAGCATAAAGCCCTCTTTGTTGTTGCTGGGCGGTGTTCTATCTAATAGGCACACCCAATGTCTTTTTCTACTGTAGACCAGTTGATAGATATTCGAACTGTGTCTCATTCTGAGAATTATTTCACTGGGAAGTAACTAGAAGTAATTATTTTGCTGGGAAGTAATTTATAAGGAATTGCCAGTCTTTCCCCAAGTGGCCATGCCATTTTGTGTTCCCACCAGTAACGTATCAGAGCTAGCTCTTTCATGTTTGCTGATGCTTGGTAGTCCCAGCCTTTAATTTTATCAGTTCTTGTGAGAACATAGGGCCATGTCAATCTGGTCTAGTCACTGAAGACATTGAATATATTTTTATATACTTACTTGCCGCTCATTTGTCTTCTTTGGTGGGGTGATTATTCACACTGATTGTTTACTTTAAAAAATAAGGTTGTTTGGATAAAAGAATTCCTAAAATTATTTGTTTGTTTATTTATTTGGAAGGTAGAGTGTGTGTGTGTGAGAGAGAGAGAGCAAGCTTGTCTATCCATTAGTTCTCTCCCCAGATGGCTGCAAAGCCAGGTTGTATCATGAGCCTAGAATTCTACCTGGTTCTCTCAGGGTATGAGAGGTCCAAACACTTGGGCTGTCTTCTGTTTGTTTCTCAGGTGCAGGAGCAATAAGCCAGATCAGAAGCTGGGCAACTGGGCCTCGAACTGGTGCTCATAGGAGATGCTGGTGTTGCCAGTATAGGCTAAACCCACCATGAAAGGACACTGCCTGTTGATAGTAGCTTTTACCAGGAAACTTTACATTGTTTACATTATTTTTGAAGTCTTAAAAATTGTAATGTGAATTAATCTCACATTTCTAGAACAGTTGCAAGAATTACAAGATACGCTTCTAAGATACCCATGTGTATACTCCCAAATGTTAATATTTTATTGTATTTTCTGTTTCTTTCTCCATGAAATCCCAACCTTATAGTTCTCTTGTTTTCAAAGCATCCTTTTCTTAGTAGGTCAGCTCTCTCTGACCCTCTCTGTTTGAGCATCACTTAATTCCGACTAGCAGCACTGTGGCCCAATTTCGAAAGCCTTGGAGAGATTTAATTGGCTCAGGTTGGGTTGGGCATCTTCCCCCACCCATGCAATCAACAGTGACCCCATGGTGGGGTCCTTTGAGAATAAATCTTGGGTGAAATTTCCAAGAGTGAATAAAGAAAAGAGGGGAGAAACACTGAGAATCTCTTCCAAGAAGCATTTAACAATTTGAAAAATAATAAAAACATAATAATCCTGAATGAGTATTTTTCCATATAGTTGCTTTACACTGCCAGGTGCTTTTCCATACCCATGTGCTTATTTCCTTGCTCATCTTGGCGCTCAACTTTGAGGACTAGCTAAGGTCAAATACTTTCCACTAAAAAAGAAAAAAAAAATCAGTATCTATTCTTAGCAGCTACACCTCCCTCTTGGCCAAAGCATGTGACTTGCTCTCTTTTTAATTGCTAGTGACTCAAACACACCTGGGTGTCTGGGGTTGGAGGTGGCTTCAGTACAGCTGGGGCTAAGGGTTACCTTTCTCTATCACTTCTCCAGGCTTTCTGCATGCCACAGAGTGGAATTCCTGTTCTAGCCGTTGTCTTAGGGACACCTGAGTACCAAGGCCCCCTGATGCTCTGAGTTCTCTCACTTTAGCGCTCTCTCATTTGCAGTTTTTTCCTTTCCACCCATCCCATCATCTGTGCCAGGCTTTCTTTACATGACTGGCATAGTTGCTGGCAGCTTCCAAGCGTCAAAGCAGGGATTGGCATGCCAGTGGCTTCTGCAAGGTGCCTATGTCCTAATGCAAGGACTGTGAATGTGTTACTTTGAGGAGCAAAAGGGAATAAATTAAGGATCTGAAGATGGGAGAGATGATCCAGGTGGGCCCCGTAGAATCATAAAAGGCCTTACAAGCGGGATATGGGAAGGCCAAAGGCAAAAGAAGGGACCAGGACAAGGAAGCAGAAGCTGGAAGGATGTGCCTTAATCATGGAGCAAAGGGCCAGGGGGGACCCTACCTGCAGGTGGCCTGTAGGAACTAGGAAAGTTCAAAGAGTGGATTCCAGAGGAGCAGCTGCAGAGATCATGACTGCTGATACCTTGAGTTTAGCTGCTCTTACCCACATTGGGTTCCAGGCATGTGAGAGTATGAATTCATGGGGTCTCAAAGCACAAAGTGGCTGCAGTTCATTCCAGCAGCCACCAGACACTAACATGTAATCTCAGTACTGATGACTGAATGTTCCAGAAGTCCTGTGATTCCTCTAAAATGGCCCATACACCCTCCACCTATTTCTTGAGTAGAATACATAAGGTGAAGAACAAGTAGAATGAGCGATCACCTGCAACTCAGAGGTGAGAGAAGGAACTGGTGAAGGGGTCGTGGGGAGTTCGTTTCTCCATGAGAGAGCAGCTGGACAGACAACAAGAAAGAGGATCTCTTGTTCACCCTGGTACTGCCATGCCAGCCAGCCTTTGCCCCAGGCAGCCGTTGAAAATCAGCACTATGCTTTGTGGACAGCAGTGCATAGGAGGATGCACTGTGCGATTTATCGCTTCAGGTTTGCAAAGCTATTTTTATAAGAAGAAAAAATGTGTAATCTCTGGAGGGCATATTTGAATGGAGCAAAACCTCATTTACATATGGAAAATCTGCTATTTTTGTTGTAAACGTTGTGCTTTTGTAGCCAAAAGAAAGATCTGAGTTTATATTCAGAGTCTGTCACATGCCAGCCTGGGGACCTCTGTGAATTTCAGTTTCCTCATCTGTAAAATGGAGATGATAATACCTTCCTGTGAGCTGTTGAAAGGATTGAAAAAAAAGATGATTTATGTAAAACCCCGCACTAAGTATGTAGAGCTTAGTGCACTTGTTCAGTAAAGAATTGCTATATTTGTCCTGCTTTCTCCACATCATGAGATGAAATTGGTCCATGAAAGATTGGACTGGGTTTGGAGTTTGGATGGAAAGGCCTCATATTTTAGTATATGCATTAGTTTGAGCAGAGTGGCTAAAAAACATTTTTTTTTGAAGCGTACGCTTGTATGTATATAGAAGAGTACTTCAAAAAATGTGTGGGAAAACAGAAACAAAAGCTAAGTTTGGCAGTGAACCTTTGACCTAGTGGTTAGGAGGCTGGTGTGCCCGAATTTCATCACTGATTCCAGCTTCCAATTCCAGCTTCACGCTGATGCAGACCCTGGGAGGTGGCAGTGATGGTGTGAGTTATGATGTCCATGTAGGAAGTCTAGCTGGGATCACAGGCTCCCAGTTAGGTCCCAGCCCAGCCCAGCCTTGGCCATTTGTGGGCATTGGGGAGTGAATTAACAGACTGGAACTATGTCTGTTTTTCTCTCTCTCTCTCCCAAATAAATAACTTTTGAAGATAAAATCAATTTTGAAGTCCTTGCCTCATTCTTTTTTTATAATATACATTTTCCATGACTTTTTTTAAACGATCCCTTCAAATGCAGAGGATTTTTTTTTGCTTCCAAATAAATTTACCTTCGAATTTCATTTTTCTAAAAACATTTTGGAGTACATTAGTATTTTTGAAAGCTAGGAATTCTACTATTTTTCTTTTTCCTCCTTTTCTGTGCTAACTCCCTCCCCTGCTGGAGTTATTATTATCACTATCTTTTAAAGGTTTGTATTTATTTAAAAAGCAGAGTGACAGACAAAGGGCGATATAGAGTTCTTCAGTCCAGTGGCTTACTCCTCAGATGACAACTGTGAAGGCTCGGCCAGGCCAAAGCCAAGATCCAGAAGCTTCTTTAAGTCTCTCATGTGGGTGTTGGGTCCTAAGCACTTGGACCATCTTCCATTGCTTTCCTGGGTGCATTAGCAGGGAGCTCGATGGAAAGTGGAGCAGCTGGGACTCAGACCAAAGCCCATATGAGATGTTGACGCTGCAGGTGGCACCTTGGGCCAGAATGATGTGTAAAGAGTTGTAGGATGAGGGTGGGCACCTTCTTCCTTACACACCTGGAACCGGGCTAATTCTTGTTCTGTGGCTACAGTTTTCCCTGTGAACATGAGTCTCCTTGCCTCCCTGTTGTTTTCCTTGTAGTATATTTTGCTGAAGCGAGCGAGTCTTCTGAATTTGCTAGAGAGTGGGGTCACTGGTCCTTTTTGTCTCTGCAGTGTTGTGCTTGCTTCTCTGGTGGATTCATTCTCCTTGCATTGTGACAAGCTTTGTCCTCCAGGACAGGTGTTTGTCCTGCTTGTGGCATGAGCAGCCACAGCTCTGATAGCTCAACAAGAGGACTATTGCCCCGGGAAAAGGAGGGGCTGGAGTCTAGCAGACCACGAGATTTTCTTCAGTTTGTAGAATGGGAAGGGGAAACCAAGAGTTGGTGTCTGCCGGTGATCTTCAAAGAATTGAATTGGCATTTGAGGTACAGGAACTCAGGCAGTGGCCAGACTCCTATTTGTACTGCGAGTGACTTCTGGAATCAGAGATCTTGTGGATTATCACATACAGCACTCCCTCTATATCCTGTGACAAATCCCTGCATGGTAGCCCTGGTTCTCTGATTCAACACCTCTAGTGACAGGATCTCCCTGCTCCTATGACACTCAGTGTCACCTCCAAACGACTCTTGTTGATGCTTCCATCAAGCTAGGGTGCAGAGACCAGTCCCCTCTGGTTTGTTCCCCAAATGGCCACCATAGCCAGGGTGAGGTGAGGCCACCACTGGGAGGCAGGAACTCTAGCCAGGTCCCCCACTGTGGGCAGCAGGAACTTGGCGACCTGCGGGCATCAGCGCTGCTTCTCGGGTCTGCATCAGGAGAAAGTGGAGTTGAGAGCTGCAGATGAGAGGTAGGCTTCTGACCACTGGGCTAAATACCCATTTCCCAAACAGATCTCTCCATAGCAAATGTCTGCTCTGAGTGAAGGATTATGGAATGGAAAGGGGGATGGGAACCTTCCAAATGGCTATGCAATCTAAAAGAAACTCAGCAAAGCCCCTGGAAGAATTTTTCTTCTTCTTTTTGAAGTTTCTAACAGGTTCAATACAGTCCAACGACTGTAATATTTCTTTTTTCCCTTTTTCCCTTTTTTCCCTTTCTTCCTCTGCCTCTCCTTTTCCCCCTTCTCATTGCTTGTCTTTAATTGAAATTGCAGTCAGGGGCTTAGTCCACTGGAAGAATTCTTGAGCTCTGGAACCAGCCACCAGACCAGGTTCCTTGTCTAGGAGTTGGCCCATGTTAGCAGTCCTGCTGTGGTCAGTCAGTGGCTGAGGGAGCGTGGCCTTTGTGTGAACGTGGAAACAGGTTTCAGAGCAGTCCCTGGACATATGAACAGTGCGTTCTTTTGGTTACTTCCCTCTGCATCTGAGACAATCACCAGTCTCACAGCTGGAAAAGGAAAAGTTGGCCTTGTGCTTCCTGAGAAATGCATCGGTGACCTCAGAGACCTTGAGGTCAGGGTTGCATATGCCCTGGCCCACCTGGAGAGTCAGCCATTGCCTCCTTTGTACTTTCCTCATGAGAAGGGCAGTCTGTTCATTGTGGACAGGCGTTATATTGGGTGGTAAGGGTGATGTCCTTGCAAGCTTAAAGTACCCAAGAATGCTGCAAATGGGCATAATCCATGTTGATTTCAAGGATATTTCCCATTCATCATCTCGCTTGATCTTCACCAGATCACGTGGGTTGGTAATTCAGGGGTTCCCATCTTACAACTTCTCTCACAGGTGAAGCAGCCAAGACATAAAACCAAAGGCAGTCATCAAAGTCACATGGCCACTAAGTGGGACAACTGGGGCTAAAATCCAGGTGTCTAATGCCAAGGTCTGGAAGATCTGTTACATTATGTCATGGTGGCAGAGTGCTCCGGAGATCTGTTACAGCATGTCACAGTGGCAGTGTTTGGCCCTCTAGCTGTTTCACTGTGTCTGGTGGGGTTTGTGAAGGATGCCTTATACTTCATGATTTTTTTTTTTTGGTGACCTCTGATTCCAGTGGATTGTGCATTCATGATAACTTAGTAGAACAAAAGGCCACTTAAGTAAACAGGCATTAGCTATTTATTAGTTTCTATTATTTATTGATTTACTAATACATGATTAATTATTTATTAAGAAGAATACAGAGAGATCAAGAGTGAGGGCAGAGAGAGAAAAAGGGGTGGGGATGGAGAAAGAGTACTCCCATCTGCTGGTTTGCTCCCCAAATACCCACAATAGCCCCAACTAGGGGCTGAAGCTGAGAACCTGGAAACCAATCCTGGGCTGCCACATGAGCGATGAGATCCAACTGATTGAATCATCACCTGCTGCCTTCTGAGTCTGCATTAACTAGAGCCAGGAATGGAGCTGGGACACACACCCAGGCACTTCCATATAGGCTGTGGGTATCCCAACTACAGATGCAAAGGCTAGGCCATCTGCCTGCCACACTCTACCTTTGAAACAGTGACACAGAGACAATGCAAGTCCAAACAGGCTGTTGTGTAGACAGATCCATGCTCCATCCATGGCCTCTCGCCATCATCACCTTACTGCATGTCTTACATCCCAGGGCTTAGCTTGGGCTTCCTCTTTTCTCCTGGTGGGTTTTTATACATCTGTTACAGATGAACTGTCTGTCCTCATGTATGGGGTCAGCTTTTCTGATGCTGGTAGCATGCAGTAGGGAGTGGGAAGGGTCTGAAGAGACAGAGTTCAAGACTGGAATCGGGCTCCAGGGCATAATATCAAAGTCAAGAAGCTTGTGGTCTTCCACCCAGAGTAGAGAGGCTCTTTCACTCCTGTCTCAGGGGATAGAAAACCTGCCATGCCCACAGGGTTGGTCCACAAAGAAAGAGGTCAGTCATGTTCATCACATCTGCCCAAGTGCCAGGAAACTGAAGAGACATTGTGTAGCCAGGAAGTAGAACCAAGTGGTCCTAGTCTGTGTATTAACATGATGCTACTCCTCCCTGTCATACACAGCACTCAAGACATCATGGAAGCAAGCCATCTCCTTCCATTCACTTCCTCCTCTGCTCTAGGGTTTCTTTGCTCCCCAGGGCCACACATGAACCTGTAGGGAGCAGCGTGTTCTGAGTCTTCCCCAATGCCACATGTGGGGCACACAGAGCATAGGGCTGGTCACCAAGGGACTGGGCTGCAAAGAATGCACCTAGTTGCTGGCTAAGTCTGGAGTTCACCTACACACGCCTGTGAAGAGTCAGCCTCAAATGGAAGTTCATCTGGAGGACAAAAGCAATTCTTATAAAGCCAAGTTAGTCCTTTGTTAAGGTACAAATGTGGGAAGGGTTTTCTATCTGATGCAACTGGAGATGTTGGCTGTGAACTCACAGAACACGCAGTGTGCCCATGGAATCAGATGGAGGCGCCTAGTATTACGTTAAGGGATGCTGGTGTAATTTCCATATGTTAATCTAGCCTATGTGTATGTATTGCTTGTTCATTATCACTGAACTACAATCAGCGGGCAATTTTTTCCTTTCAAAAGAAGTCCCACAGCTGAGCGAACATGTGGCTTTGCCAGGCTTTTCATGAAAATGATTGCCAAAGGAATGGAAAAGCACTTTGCTACACATAAGTGAGCTCATCAGGAAGTGTACTCTCTCTCTCTCTCTCTCTCTGTGTGTGTGTGTGTGTGTGTGTGTGTGTGTGTGTGTGTGTGTGAGGGGGTGGTAGAGGGAGGTGGATAGTAAAACAGAGGGATCACATTCAGAGAATGAGCTGGTTCTTACCTGTGCCCAGCCTCAGAACAATGAATGCAGTCATCAGAATTTCTGGTCCTAAGAACATTCGGCGTGAACTTTTGGCCGCCATCTTCAGGTCTCTTGGCCATCAATATGAGAAGCCTGTGAAGGGAGAGGGTGGCACAGGTGCAGACACACCGGTTTGTCTTATGCGTTGTTGTAGTGCTTTACTGACTTCTGGCCAACTGTTGGCCTCACAGAACAAACAGCATAATGATCCCAGTTCCGTGAAGCACATTTTTATCCTCGTGTCCTCACATCAGAACCCCTCATGGAAACCAAAGGAATGAAAAACAAGAGCTCAGGACCAATTCTGTTCAAAATTCCAACTGCTATTTTTGCAGCAATTGATAAATTTGAAGAACTCAGAATAGTCACCTTCCCCAATTTTTTTTTCCCATTGGAGAACTCTACTTTAAAATGAACCACAAAGGGGCCTGCATGGTGGCCCTTCAGGCTAATCCTTCAGGCTTCACACTTATGTTTATGGTCATCAATTTTAGACATGGATGCTGAGACAATCAAATGTGGGAAGAATACAGATTTTGACAAACTGTAC